CACCGTGGGTCCGACCTGAGGAGCGTCTCAGCAGGGAAGGCAGGCTGGGGAGAAGAGGATTTGGGTCTGCTGGGGCTTGTTGGAGCCCCGCACTCGGCAGGGAGAAGGGGAGCACCCCGTGTCCCAGCTGATTTGCTGCGCTCCTTCCAGCTTTTGAGCCAAAGCCCTCGCATCCATCCCTTGCCTTCACCCCCCGAGGTGCCTCCAGCCCGGCTGGCAGCTGGGTTTCTGCCTTGCCAGCAGCCCCCAGGGCTCAGCAGCAAGCAGGTACCTGCAGGAGAGGGGCATTGCCAAGCCAAGTGCCAGCTAACCCCGCTCAGCATCTCCTCCATCCCCTCCCTGGCTGCTTGCCCTGTTCCTTGACCAAAGATCGAGCTGCTGAAGCTGCTTGCACCACCGCCTGTGACACAGCTTCTTCGCTGTGAGGGGTGGTGAGGTTGTCCAGAGACGTTGTGGCTGTCCCCTCCCTGGCAGTGCTCAAGGCCAGGTTGGATGGAGCTTTGAGCAACCTGGTCTGGTGGAAGGTGACCCTGCCCATGGCAGGGGGGGTTGGAACGAGATGATCTTTAAGGTCCCTTCCGACCCAAACCGTTCTGGGATTTTATGAAGACAGGCCCTGTGGTGCCTCCTCCCCGTGGCTGCGGTGCAGGGACCCCGTGAGCATCTCGGGGTGCTCACCAAATGGTAATGCACATGCATGACACAGATGCATGAAGCCAGTGGTGCACCCCAGTCCGGGGATGGCCTTTGATTTCTTATTTTACTCTTCCAGCTCATCTATCAGCATGTGTTTGTTGCGAATATCCACCATGACTGCCTGATCGTCAAGGCTGGGGCCATAATTAATGATTTCTCCGCACAGCTCTGGCTGTAGCCCCATGCCTGCGGTAGCAAAAGAGATTGTGCCTGACTCCCAGCCCTTCGGAGCAGGAGTGGCCGCAGAAGCTTTGGGGATCGGGGCGCAGAAGTGGGGCTGCCGGTGGGATGTCTTGACCATGTTCGTGTCTCCTGCCCCCCCTCCCCCAGGTTCGCAAAGCTCTTGCTCCGTCTCCCAGCCCTCCGGTCCATCGGCCTGAAATGCCTGGAGCACCTCTTCTTCTTCAAGCTAATAGGCGACACGCCCATCGACACCTTCTTGATGGAAATGCTGGAAGCGCCCCATCAAATGACTTAGAGAACTGCCGCTGGGTCAGTCCCTCGCCCGGCCGGGGTCGACGCG